GCCAGCCGTGTTCCACACTGGTGGAGGAGGCACTGGCGGGGGCACAATAGCATCATTTATTTATCAGTCGTGGGTCTTGAACTCTGGGCCTGGGCGCTGTCCCTCAGCTCTTCAGCTCAAGGCATGCGCTCTACCATTTGAGCCACAGCACCACTTCCAGTTTTCTAGTGGTTTATTGGAGATAAGAGTCTCACGGACTTTCCTGTCCGGGCTGGCTTTGAACCGTGGTCCTCAGATCTCAGCCTCCTGAGTAGCTAGGATGACAGGCGTGAGCCACCAGCGCCCGGCCCATCATATTTATTTAAAGCAAGAGAGCCAAGGGACTGATGTTCATTGGAACTCGTTTTGAGCCGCTGTATTTGATCTTCCTCCCGCAGATCTGCAGGCACTTGTGTCCTCCTTTCATGGTAGAGAAACTGAGGCTGAGACAGTGACTTGTCCTGTCTTAGAGACAGGGCTAATGACTAAAGAAAGGGTTCACACTCTGGTCTGATTATGTCCCTACCCCCGGTGTCTGGGCTCCCCAGTCCCTTGCCCTCCCTCCCTCTCTGCCCTGTGTCTGCTGACTCTGCTGTCTCTGTTTCTCAGACACAAAGCTCCTCCCAGCAGCCCTGCCTGCCCCTCAGCTGCAGGTTTTGGTTTTCCTTGCTGGTTCTGGGGCTTGAACTCAGGGCCTGGGCGCTGTCCCTGAGCTTTTGCTCGAGGCTAGTGCCTCAGTGCTACATCTGGCTTTTTCCGCTTATGTGGTACTGAGCAATCAAACCCAGGGCCTGCTAGGCAAGCGCTCTACCACCGAGCCACCTCCCCAGCCCTGCCATCAACCCCCATCATGAACACCATGTTCTCCTGAGAGAGCCTGGCCCTTCCTCTCACACAAATGCCAGTGGAACATTACTTCAATAATTTTGTGATACTCTTTACTTCTTGACTTATTTCTTGACTTAATGACAGCCAGGGCCTCATGTTCCTTGTTTCTGATCTTGCCTGGAGAAGTGGAAACACTTTAGAAATGTTGGCTGACTGGCTGATGGATGGATGGATGAGTAGATGGATGGATAGATGGGTGGTGGATGGATGGATGGGTGAATGGATGGACAGGTGGGTGGATGGATAGGTGGATGGATGTATATATGTATGTATGGATGGATGGACAGGTAGGTGGATGGATGGATGGGAGTATGAACAGTTAGGTAGTTGAATGGATGGATGATGGATGGATGATGGATGGACAGGTGTATATGTGTATGTGTGTATGTATGTATGTGTGTGTGTATGAATAGATGAGTGGATGAATGGACAGGTAGATGGATGGGTGGGTAGATGGACAGGCAGGTGGATGGATGGGTGAATGGATGGACAGGTGGGTAGATGGATGGGTGAATGGATGGACAGGTGGGTGGATGGATAGGTGGATGGAGGGTGGATGGATGGACAGGTGGGTAGGTGGATGGATGGATGGAGGGAGGGAGGGAGGGATGACGGATGGTTGGATGGACAGGTGGGTAGGTGGATGGATGGTTGGATGGACAGGTGGGGCGGGTGGAAGGGTGACTGGCAGAGCACTGTTGTCTCTCAGGATCTGGAGGGCTGTCAACACATCCATTACAGTTGGTGTGTTCTGCGCTGCAGGCTGCCTGGCCTCTGTCATCACACTGCCTAATGGTAGAGTTGCTCTTTTCCTCCTGTCTCCACAGTGTTTGGAAAGAAGTCTCAGCGTGTCCCACACCATCCCACACCAGAGAGGGGACTCACGCCTGACCCCTTGAGGGCCGGGCCAAGGGCCAACCCATTTTTACTAGGGTTTGAAGGACACTCAGTCTTGGGTCTTCTAGCAAGGCTAACTGTCGGTTTTAGGTGTTCTGCTGTGTTCTCTCTTCTCCATGGAGTCTGTGTTTCTGTTCATGGCTTTGTCAGGGTATCATCACCCAGAATTCCACCCCTGCTTCCCCAGGACACACGCATCCTGGCAGGATCCAGTGTCCTTGGCGACAGGGCCGTGCAGAGCAGCCCTGGTGGGCTCTGCGCCCGGGCAGCCCGGCGTGGGCAAGAGCGGCTTTCAGGAGAGCCTGCGTTGTGTTCCCAGAAAGGCCGCTGCGCTTCAGCTATGCTCTCCTACATCAGCTCCTCGGCTGCGTCTGCAGAAGGCAAGACACGGATGTGGCAGCTGTCCGTGGGTCTTCTGGTTGCACATCTCCCCTTCTGTCTCTGGTCGGTGAGACTCTGGCCAAGCATCTGTCCTCCATGCCTTCGCTTGCGCAGAGCAGCGGCCTTCCCCTCCCCGCCCGGCCTGGCCCACACCCACCGCCCCCTCTGACTCTCACCGAGTTCCAGCAGTTCAGGCTGGCTTGAGTTCAGGCTGCCAAAGTGAACAATAGGGCTGCTGGGGAGGGAGGTTTGATTGGAATCTGGATAAGCCCTCCTGCTCACTCTCCACCGACCTCCTGAGGCATCTGAGCTAAAGCAGCCGAGCTGGAGAAACGGCAAGGGAGGCTGCCTGGAGTCCGTTCCCACGGCCAGCTGGCTGGCTCACGCGGTGGGGCGAGGCACCGGTGCTGTACGGTAGCGCCCTGTGGAACACGGGTCCTCTGGAGCCTGTGTGGCGGAGGCCTGGTCTTCCAGGGTGATCCCAGGGAGGATGAAGGCCCTGGCCTCCCGGCCTCCAGCAGGAGGGAGGACCTTCCTGCGAGTCCTCCTGGACAGTAAACACAGGCTCTGGTGATAAGCCTTGCTCAGGCAGGGCCCCCGCTGCCCTGCTGACCACTCAGGCCAGTGCGTCCCGGGGCCACACACAACCGCCGTTGCCCCCTCCCCTGGTCAGTGTCTGCTGCCCCAATCAGATAAACTGCTCTGAACACCGGCCTCCAGGCAACGGCCTCCCAACTCCTCAGCCTCCTTCCTGTTCCTACATTTGTTGCTCCCATCTTTCTCCACAGCCCCTCTGCACGCACACACACACGTACCTGTAGGGTCCCTTCTGTCTGTGACTGGTTCCTGTCTCCCAGCTCCGAGCTGTCATGGAAGATGTGTGGAGACTGCTGATCCTTCCAAACCTTGAGCTACAGCATTGCGTTCTGACTCCCAGCCTCCACCAACTGCAGGTGGAAAATACTCGAGAAAAATAGCATCTCCAGACTTTGTCAGGATCCCTGAGCAACAGACCGGAGCAACTGCTTAACTAGAAAGTACTTAAACATTGTGCTAGGTACTGAGTGGGCTGTGAGCAAATACCGCAGACCCTCCCCTCCCCCCCCCCCCCCGTGAACCAGGGAACCTGCGGATGGTTCTGGAATCCATTCTCTGTGCATGCTTAACGGTGATCACAAGCCTACAAGGGCCTTCCCTAGCCTTTCCTGGTGGAGGGAGGGGGAGGGATGGGATGGGATGGGCCTGATCCTCTTCCCGCCCACTGCTCACCGCCCAGGGCCTTCACATCAGGGAAGCTGGCGTCTGGGCTCCAAGGTTGTGGCTGCCCCATTTTACAGGCAGGGAAACTCAGTTTGGTTCTGTTTTCCCGAGCCTCCCCTAGGGGCTAAGAGACCCTGCCTGGAAGTTTCCAGAATGCAGCAGCCAGGGACAGATGTGAAACTTGTGAGTGTTGGGAAATCACCCAGGGGAGAGGAGGGGCAATGGCTCTTGGTCTGAAGCACTGGACAGAGGACCATCCCCGGAGTCACGTGCCCCCTGCCCCTGCCCGCCCTCCGCTGTCCCTTCCGGGGAGAGGCCCGGGCGCCCGCCCCACACCTGGCCATAGACGTTTCCGAGCTCATTCAGAACAGCCTCCCAGGAATGAACGGGAACCGCCTGGGCTCAGGGTGGGGCTCCCCGAGAGTCCTGATCCTGCAGGGCATGCCCCCAACCCCGGGGGGTCAGCGCAGAGAACGGGGGGCTCCAGACTCAACCTCCCTTCCCCGCAGGGGCCTAGGGAGCCGGCAGGGTTGCTACCGCTCTGGCCGGGCTCCGCACTTACTGGATGCTTCTTCCAAAGGAGCCAAAATGTTCAACACCATCTTCATTCCAACTTCTTTCTGTCTTTCTGTCACGTGTTACCCAGTGCTGGTGTGAGCAATATTAAATATATACGTATGCGTGTGTGTGTGTGCGTGCATGGGTGCATGCGCAACACTGGGTGGAGCAGTTAGCGTGACTAGAGGCTGCCATGATCGCACGCATCCCTTTTGAGACAGGGCTTGTGCACTGCCCGCTCGGTGTGTGGAAGTGTCTGACACGGATGAAAATGAGCGGCTCCCGCCTCCTCTTACCTCGGGCTCAGTAGACGGTAGATGGGGGTGGGGGGCATAGCAGAGGGAGCCTAGCCGGGAATGGAGCGAGCCGGCCGCCGTCGGTGCGCTGGTGCCCTCTCCTCCTTTCAGCGTGACTGATGAGGGGCATCCGGGTCTCAGGTAGCCTCTGACCCGGCTTTACAGGTTTACAGGAGCAAGAGTCTGGCATATGCTGCGATTCAGCCCTTGCCTAAGACGGTACAGCGCAGAGCTGTCCATCTGAGGAGTCGGTGAAGCCGGCTGTCCGATCCGGGGCGCCCGACACCCTCGGAGTCGGTGAGGCCCGCTGTCCGATCCGGGGTGCCCGACAGCCTCCCTCCCAGGGGACCCTGTCCCCCAGGGGTCAAGGGCGCACGTGGGCCTCCTCGGATGGGAGCCGCAGTTGGGGAGGGGGAGGAGGCCGGGTGGCAGGGGACAATCAGGCTCCCTTCTCTTGTCGTTCACTAAGGGAGGAGTGTCTGTATTTCAGGTCCATCGTGAAAATGAATGGTTAGCTACAAAGCCCCGGTGCACGGGACAACGAGTGGAGACCAGGCGCCGGGAATCTTCGTGGAAACGTCCTTGAGCTGACCTTGTGAAGAACTGGCTGCGGCTCTGGGACCGTGGGGGAGCCGCCAACCCCATCTTTTGGCGTATTTCAAGCCCCCAGAACTGCGCTTCCTCCTGGGCTTATTTAGAAGCCAGCAGAGGAAGTGGTAAAGGAAACTAGCTGCGTCGTTTTCTGAGAAGAGACCATATTTGTGCCTGGAGGAAGCTGCTGCCTCCCGGGCTCTGGCCACCGCAGAGAAGAGGGCGCTCCAGGGGTGCGGGGGCAGGGCACGGGCTCAGGAGCGCGGGGGGCCTCTGCCGGCCACCGAGCCTCCCAGGACGGCCACCATGGCCCTGAGGAACGTGCCCTTCCGCTCCGAGGTCCTGGCCTGGGACCCCGACAGCCTGGCCGACTATTTCAGGAAGGTGAGTCCCGCTCTTCTGTGAGTGCTGGGCAGGGGTGCAGACTGGCGTGGGTGCGAGGGTGGGATCCGGACAGGGCATGGGGGGTGTGCCGGGCTCGAATCCTAAATGGAAACGCCCCACCGTCCTGCTGTCCTGCAATGCCGGCTCAGCGAGGTGACGTGGCCCAGGTCCCCAGCGACCGCGGGCAGCCGAGGCGGGATTCGAAGCCGGTCTGGCTCCAGGGTGCGTGCTCTGAGATGCGGAGGAGGTTGGAAGCACCGATGGCAGCCCATGCTGGCAGACTGGTCGGGAAGATGGAGTCTGGGGATGGCAGACGGGGCATGGGGGCAGGGCTGGGTGGACCTGGGCTCCTGTGGCCTTGGGGTGGGGTGGGCATCAGCTTGAATGGCATTTAGGCACTCTGAAAGGGGTCCACAGACCCTTTCTTACCAGTGTTTCACTGGGGCCTTGGGGGGGCCTGGGAAGCAGCCCTGAGAGCTGGGCCTCAGGGGGTTGGGGATGGAGGCTGAGCTCAGGCATCAGGCCACACTGAGCTGGGCCCAGAGCGCCGTGGTCCACCCTCTGGACAGGGCATAAAAGGACCGAGGGTGGGATTGGGGAGGCCGAGGGGAGGCCTGGACACCCAACCTTCCCTCCTGTGGAGCCCTGACTTCTCTGCCCCTCGGCTTCCTCCTCAGCGGATGAACGCCAGGACCCCCGGCGGGGTGGCTGTGACGGGAAGTCAGGTGTGAGGCTTCAGGCTCGGGGAAGCGGCCCGGGTGGGCGGGTGGGTGGGAGCCGCCGGGCGCACCAGCGAGGCTGGGTATCTGCGTGCCTCGCCGGCGTCTGGACTACAGGCCCGGAAGAGGGAGGCCGCGTCTTCAACACCTCCAGCACCTGCAGCGTCCGAGCATCTGCACCGGGCAGCAGAGTCCCTGGCTCCCACTCACCTGTTCAAAGCCACGCTGGGTTCCCCACTCATGGTGTCTCCTCAGGGCAGGGCCTACCCTCTCTGAGCCCCAGACGCCCCATCCAAAGCCAGGCCACGGCTCTAGACCAGGCGTGTCTCCCCCGGGTCTCCGGGAGGGTCGTCTGGGGTGTTGGTTGATAGGGCAGCTTCCAGCCAGGTGTGGTGGTCAGTCGCTCAAGAGACACAGGTAGGATCACAGTCCAGTGCCTGTCAGGGCAAGAGCAAGATCAGATCTGAAATATAACGGAAGCAAAGAGGACTGGGGGTGTGCCTCGCACGCTTGAAGCCCTGCGTTCAGACCCCAGTGCTGCGGATTCAAGACCTAGAGGCCCAGATCTCACTGGACCCCAGCTGAGCACCTAGATCCCACCCACGACGCAGTCTGAGGATTCTATCAGAGTGAGGACTCCAAACCACTGGGATCGGCTGGCTGATGAGGACATTGGGCAGGAACTAAAGGCGCTTGCTACAGAGCTGTGCCCATACCTCAGAGCTGCCCCCCAGCTCCCAACTCTGACCTCCGACTTTCCAAGCGCACAAGGCCACAGCAGTCCTGTTTACACTTCTGCATGTTTGGTGAGAAGAGTTTGATTTGCCTGCCCCGAGAAAGCTGGCTCAAACTCTGAGGACCACATCTGTGGGAGGAGCCCGGAATTTCCAAGGAATAAATCTTTAACCTTTGGCACCCGAACTTAGTGGTATTTCAAATAGGAACGATTGAGGACAAAGTGGATTCAAGACCAAGTGAATCATTCCTGATGATTCCTGATTGGTTTTGGAAAACAGCAAAGACCTTGCCCAGGGTCCCTTCCTTTGATCAGTAAGTAATGCTGTTGTTCCCAAAGGAACAGTCCAGACAGAGTCGCTCAAGTCCTGCTCCGCTGCTCCGCAGCCACAACCTCCAGCAGCACACGGGAAGACGGGAGCGGCCCTAGCTGCCGGGCTATGCGCTTCTTTATTTACATTTGGCAGCGATGGGGTTTGAACCCAGGGCCTCACACTTCTGAGGCTGAGCCACGCCCCCAGCCACACAATTAGCCGTTTCTATCGTGGCCGTTGGAACAGCAGTTTTCCGACTAACCTTAACGTTCGATACGGAGGGATTCAATAAGAGGACGTTGAACTTGAGTGAAGTGTTGAGGTTATCATTTTAGGGGAATTTGGAGCAAAAAGTCAGGGTGTCAGACAGGTGATGACTGACGGCTTCTGAGCCTTAGGAGCGTCTCCGTGGTCCTTTCTGGAGGAGCAGGCCCCGAGGGCGTCTCTCTGGAGCGTTGGAACGAGTCGCTTCCCCATGCTGGGCATCCTGTTGGCTGGGCAGGGCCGGCTGGCTGCGTGTGGGACAGGCAGACCGTGGCGGGAGCCGGCCTCGCTGACGGCACCCTCCTCCTCTCCACAGCTCAACTACAAGGACTGCGAGAAGGCGGTGAAGAAGTACCACATCGACGGCGCGCGGTTTTTGGTGAGTTCCAGACACCGGCCACCTGGACACCAAGGATGCCTGGCTGTTTTCCCAGGGGCTGCCGGCCCAGGCGGCCTCCCTCATTGCTGGGGTTCCCCGGGGGGGTGCTTGTTTTCAGCATCCCTCCGTGGCCCTGGGTTCGACGGGTCCGCCAGAGCCCTCGGGCTGTCATCCTCTGATGACGGAGCCTCCTCAGACCCTCCCCAGGTACCACGCACACCCTAAGGTCTGAGTGTACGGAGGAACGTGATTACAGTTGCATGTGCAACACACACACAGCCAGATGCCATGACTCACGCCTGTAATCTTAGCTACTCCTAAGACTAAGACTGAGATCTGAGGCTGGTTCTGGGTCAGCCAGGGTGCCCAAGAAAGAGAGAGACAGACAGACGGATGGAGGGAGGGGGGGAGAGGCGGGAGGGGAGAGCAGGGAGGGAGTAGGAAAGTTTGGAGGCTTGGCCATGGTCCCTTCTCTCAGGACTCTGCCTGACTCCCCGCCCCGTCCTCAGTGGTATGAAGAGGGCAGGCTTAGCAACGGCTGTTAAGAGCTGGGTCAGATGAATCCAGTGGGCACCTCAAGGTGGCCAGCCAGTCCCCGCTGAAAGGCCCAGACCCTGCGGCTTCTCCCTGGAAGGCCTGGGTGCCCTGGATCTCGGAGTCCAGTAAGAGAAGGCCGCACACACGGTCAGATTCAGTTCACGAGAGGATTCTGCATGGTTGCAGGAACCTGGTCCTCACATAGCTGTCCACCCTTTAAGTGAGATCATTTGTCAACATCCAGAACTCAGAACACGGAGCCCAAGCCCTGGCCCCTTCGGTGCCCAGACACCACTACCCTCTCCTGCCCCAGCCCCTCTCCTGCCCAGCCCCTCTCC